CTCGAAGACGGGCCGGGTGCGTTTTTCACAGCAAAATGGGGAAAGCTTCTGTACTGGGACCGTGAAGCAGCCTCTGGGGGCCGGGGGAAGCCCCGCTGGAGTCGCTGTTAGCAACATGTGGGAGATGCCGTAGCTGCCGGCACCGCGGGGGCATGCCTGCTCGCTCTCCTTCAGCGCTCGTTTGGCCTGGGCTGTCGGTACGAGGTACGGTGGTTTCAGCGAGCCTGTTCGGGTTGCTGGTGCGCTGGCGGAGAGGGCAGGGAGGTGTGAGTGGTCGGCAGGCTGGGGATTTTTCCGGCCTCCCTTCGAATCTGGCCTGCTGGCATGACTCTTCTATTTCTGAAAATTACTTCTAGTGGGAATGCTGAATCACGTACTCCCAACAGCCAGGAGATACAGCAGGATGAAGGTATCATTCGTTCAGTTTTCTTTACTGTTGTGGTTTTTTTTCTTTACCCTTTTGTCTTGTGTTCTTACGGCAGTGATGCCAGCAGGCTGGTTGTTTCAGCATGATGCTTGTTAGCAGAATTCTCCCTGATATTCATTTAAAGTTTCTCTTTTAAATTTTAACCCCTTTTGTAAGTCTCTGTGTGCAAGGCCACCTGAAAAAAAAAAAAAGTTTAGTTGTGTTTTACACCCTTGAGATCTTTCCAGACTGCTGGCTTGTCCCCTCCCCATCTTAGTCATCCCATATTGCACTAGACAGATTTAGCTCCTAACCTTTCCTTATAAATCAATCCCTCTGGCCTCGTGGCAATTTGTTGTCTCTCTTCCCTGAACTCCGTCTGTTGTGGGTAATGGAGAAGCCAGGCCAGATCTGAGTAGGTGTCCACGCAGCCTTCCTCCCCGAGGCTGTGCAGAGTAAGGGGCAGGTGGCCTCCAGTGGGCAGCCACCGGTCGACACACCGACAGGGACCCCCGGTGTCCTGGGCCCTGGGCTCTCCCTCCTCCAGAAGGCAGGTGAGCCGGTGGGGTTCGGGTCGGGGAATGTGCCTCCCACCCTCGCCCCCCTCTCGGCCCCGGAGCGGCGGGTCCCTCCGGGTTCCCTCCCGGTGCACCTCGGGGTGCCCACGCGTGGCGTCCTGCTTTCACGGGGTGATGAGCGGGGCAGTGACGGAGACCCCATGGGCACCTTGCAGCCCCTCTGAGATTTCAAAGCAAGTCCCAAGGGCTCTCTTACTTTACTGCTGGTACAACTGTCGTGCTTTTAGCTGTTCAGATGCATCACTGGAGTGTCATACTTCCAGCATATTTCAGAATACGCTGATTCGGTGGGTAAAGAAAGACTAAGTGCTGGATTTTCCCCCCTTTTTAACTTCGTTTAGGCAGTCTGGCTGTAGTTTCAAACTCGGAGTAGCATCTTGCAAAGCTGGAGCCGGCAGAGTTCATTGCATCCAGCAGTTCTCTCGCACCGAATGCCCCTGCGAGCCTCTGCCCAGCTCCAGGCAAACCTGAGCTTGACCTGAAACAAAGCACATTGTTTCACAAGCTTGCTGATAGTTTGCAGTTTCCTTTGGTGGCCCCACAAGGCGCATTAGTGGCACAGAGGTGGAGCTGAGCATTAGTGCTTTTTATTTTTTGTTAAATTACTGTTTTGCTAGTTTTTAGGGACCCTGCCACTACAGGAGCTGCCATCCAAAGCTCCGTCGTCATTTTATTCCCTGAAGCAGTAGTGCTTGCAACGCGTTTTTGCAGACAGTCTGTCGCTGTGGATGTTACGCTCCTTACGAATACTCGATCCTCTCTTTAAGAGTCGTGATGCTGTGGCCCTGCAGGACTGCAGACCCGAGTTCCCCGCCAGCTCTGCCCGCTGGAATAAAGCGTTACCTGCCTTCAGTTTCAAATGTGCTGCTGTTTGCTTTCATGGAATGATACCCTGTTCTTGAGTTAAATGCAAAAGGAAATAAAAGCCATGAATTACCCTTTATCACGTCTCCTACTAAAAGCAGCTCAGTCTCTGCTTACAGATGATTTCCAGACCTTTCTCTTTTTTTCTCCTTTCTCTCTCAGAACCTTTTTGCTCTGTCTTTCTCGGAAAACAGGGTGTGATGTTGAAGATTACAGCCTAAGATCTGCAGAGTGGATTAGGTATTTTCATTCTTTTCTGTCCTGTTGCTTATGGCCTGGACTCCACATTTGCTTTTTGGACGTCTGTTTTGGCAGCATGTTTCTCTTGAGCTGTTCAGATCTCGTCAAGGGACTCAGTTACTGAAGAGCCCAGTGAGGTGTGTTTGAGGGTTTTCTTGCATTAAGTTTTGCCTTGTGGGTGAACCAAGGGAGCATTCTTCATTGGTGGTCAGATTAGCTCCTCAAAAACTTGCCTTACAGAAGGCCCAGGTATTTTTGGTTTGAATAAGCTAATTTTTTGGTTTGAATAAGCTCTTCAGGTAGGCAGAGTAAGCAGAGACTTAACCAAAGGTAGCACCTTTGGAGATCGTCAAAGATAGAAGGAGGGATGATGAAGTGGCCTTACTGGTGTCGCCTTTAGACAATCTGGTTTAGTGTTTTAGTGGCCTGTCTTGAACAGTGGCCCATACTGGGTACTTCAGATGAGATAGTAAGAAACCCCACAGCAGATCACCGGGATATAACTGGTAATACTTATTCCAAAGCTTTCATAGCTGAAGAATAGCGTGTTCGAAAGATGGGTTTAACTTCTCTTAATTCTCTTTGTCATAAATATGACAGCTTGTTACCCAGAGAGATGGCCAAGCTATCGTCTGACTTTGCAGTTTTTTCCTCCTTCATGACATCACTGAAAAAAATGTTTTTCTTTTGCTGGTTTTGAATTAATTTGTATTCTACCTTTGTAGTTTTAGCAAATGTCCCTTTTCTTGTGCTGCGAGATGAGAACACTTTGCTTATCCCTGTGTCCAAAGCACTGTGCACGTGCTTACGTCTTCTCTGCTTCTCTGTATGCGTTCAGACGAGTTTTTGGAGGTTGGTATCTTCCCAGTGCCAGTTTCTGTGCCATCTCCGATTCTTACTGGGATGCAGCCTGTGCTGAGCTCAGCCTGCACTGTTGCTGTGGATGATACGACTACAGCTGTTCCTGTGTTAGTCTTCATCCCACTGCTTGTCAACTGTGGCACCTCATTGCCGCCTTCACTTGCAGTTGCATATTGGGCAGAGTGCTCCCTCGGGCTGCCTGTGGGGTCTGCTGCATCCCTCAGCCACGCTGGTGCAGACAGGGCGCAGATCTGCAGTCTGAAGGTTGGCCTCTTTCCATGCAGGGTGTTGTTTTGTGTTCGGTGTTTGGATGCTGAGCTGTTCGTCCTTGTGCCATGTCTCTGGCCTGCACAGATCTCTCTGAGGTTCCTTCTGGCCATTTTGGGACCTGCCCAGTTAAAGCTAGGTGGCACAGGACCGCTCTCTTGCCTGCTTCAGGCACCTGATCTCTCCGACTTTACCCTTCCCCGGCGGTCAGTCAGGCCGCGGCTTCGCCCAGCCGTGCTGGTGGAGAGGTGGCTGAGCAGGAAGCCGTTCCTTCTCTGGCACAGCCCATGCTGGAGCTGTGCGTAGCTGCAGTCTCGGTCGGCCTCTGTGCCCTCCACGCAGCGGGTCATTCGGAGGAGGACAGGGTCCCGCCAGCCCTTGAGCTGCTGGAGAAGGTGCAGGAAGCAGCGTGGGCTGTGTGCCTGGCTGCAGCGTGCCAGGGGACAGGTCCCTGTCCTAGGGATGCCGGGGAGGCTCCCTGAGGGCCGGTGAGGTGACCCCTCTGGGTTAGGAGCCAGGGGGGGTTAGGGCAGTGGCCAGCAGTCTCCCATGATATTCCCTTGTCCTGCCCTCTCTCCACAGGTTATGCCACTCTCCAGGTTTGCTGGGTGCCTGCTGGTGAAAGAGAAGGGTTGAGATTTTGCCCAGGCCCTTAGGTCCTGAACCGAAATGGCAGCTGGAGAGTCCCCTCCCGTAGGAGACGTCTTCATCGACCTGCAGCAGGTGAGGTGGGAATCCAGCAGCAGCAGGGCCATCTCTTCCCCGGGGACCATGCTCCTGCTAGGCTGAGTGTGGGACCCGCGTCCCGGCAGCCTGCCGCAGCAGCAGACACAGCCGCCTGCGTTGGCTGGGGACAGGTCTGCACCAAGGCTGCCCCAGCCCTGCCCGGGAGCCCACACCCACTCCTGGTGCAGCCAGCAAAGCGTGGGCCAGGAAAGGCCAGAGGTTGCTCTGTGGGGTCCCGGTGCCTTCATGTGCCCTCGGGTGGGGTAGGCAAGCGGCAGGAGGAGCTGGGCACCTTCCAGTTAGGCTCTCCCTGTTTAGGCTGGGCTTGGGATACCCCTGGTAGGATGAGAGAGAAGCAGCCTCACCCAGAGACACAAAGCTGCTCCCAGGGCACAGCTGGGAACAGCTGGGGGATGTGGGGAGAGGCACAACTTGGCTAAAGCCGCCTTGCTCCCTCTTTCTGCCCAGCACAGACAGATTTGTCACAGTTGGGCCTCCTCCTGTTTCCATGGAAACATGGGAGTCCACAACAGCTCCGTGCTGGCATTTCAGCTATATTGACAGAAGATTTTACCAGCTGCAGCTGCTCAGGAGGCAGAAAGGACAGGAGTCACCTGGCAATGGTCTTCTCTGAGTGTCTCCACTGGCAAAAGGCAGAGGAGAGCCCGTAGCCTGAAACAGCAGGAAAATGGGCAGAAAAGCCTGAGGAAGGCCTGCCGAGGGGAATGGGAGGCCCTAGGAGTGTGGAGGGGAGGTGGGAAGGCGCAGGTTGGTCACTGACCCAAGGGCAGCTTACCAGGGCAGGGATGCTGTTTCCCAGAGGGAGATACGGAGGAGGTCTAAGAAAGGGAGGGATGGTGGACTGGGCAAAGGGAAGGCCGGAGGGCTGCAATGAGGTGCGAGGAGAGAGAAATTCCAGCTGAACAGAAGCTACGCATCTCCTTGTAGGAAAGGCAGGCACTGACATAGTCCTTTGGTACCTGCCACGCAAGGGAGGTGTGGAGGACCGCTAAGATATCTCTCCAGAGCGTGGCTTGGAGGCTTACTGGTCCGTTCTCTGAGTGAGAAACTATGCCCCAGCCCTGTCGTGTGGAGCCTGCTGCTCCTCAGCAAGCCCAGCACCATTTGCAGGGCATGAGGATCCAGAGAGCTGTAGGGGTCTGCAGTGCTTGATTCTTTTCTGGTGGTTTCTGTGCAGGGCAGAGATCGCGCAGAGAAAGCCTCTCCTGGTGCCGAGGACGATGAGGACTTGGATAAGACTTTGTCAATCGAGAGATTTGGGGACCTGATAAGCAAGTCAGCATCAAGCAATCTGGAGAAGCAAAGACGCAGCTACAGTGAGAGAGATTTTGAATGTATGTAGGTTTGAACCGTTGTACCCACTTCTACCCTTGCCACCAACCCTCGCTCAGTCCCACGTGCTCCGCAGCCTGATGCCAGGACCCTGCAGATCGTGTTAGCCTGCTATTCGCTTCCCCCCCTCAGAGCGTTCCCAATGTGCTACGTACGCCCAGTTTAGCACCAGTGACTGCGGGCTCTTCTCAGTCTGTTCCCTGTTTTTCCCGTCCCCGCAGGCGTCGCTACTGCCCAGCCCACGCGGCAGCGTGACACAGCCCAAGGTGTTCGCTCACCTCCTCACCCAGCGTCAGGGACCTCTGCAACCACTTCCCTCACGCTGAAATTTCCAGTTTGAAACTATTTTTCTTCCATATGGCTGCAAAGAAACATCCAAATATGGCCAGAAGCCAGGCTGTCCTCCCCAGTCTGAAAGCAGATGGCTCCAGTCAGACATGCCTGTGTATTTCTAAATAGCAACCATGAAACCATCAGGCTTATCTGCTCAGAGAAAGGTCTGCAAAATACAAAATGGGGTGTGAATTTAAAATGCCCTAGCCATCTCACCTGGACTCCTTTGATCAGCGTATCTATTCCTCTAACTGCCCTTCTGTAGTGAAGGCAGCCAGTTTGCCCAAACTCACTTTGGCAGTAAAAGGAGAGTGTGCCTACAAGAGTGGCCATAAGCTGTTGCCTGGTGTAGGGGGGTCGCTTTAGCTTGTGGTAACCGCAGCGAAGGGCAGGAAGAAGAGTCCCCCAGGCAGCCGCCTGCTTGTGTAGCAAACAAGTAGCAATGGGTGGGAGAGTTTCCCTCTCTCTCGCTCTCCATAGGCAGATACTGCTTGTTTTCGAGTTTAGCTCTGATGGGATACAACCTCGAGAACATTGTGTTCTGAGTACACCACCAGGCTGTTCTCTGCTTGGCCACTCATTTCCAAAGGCTGTTGTAAAAGTTTGCTGGTAAAAGCCTATTACTGTGGTGCGCCCCAGCTGCTCTTTCCGCCTGTGTTGTTTCTCTACATAGGCTCCATTCAAATAACCCTTTTGACCTGAGTACACAGTTACTCGCGCACATGGCTGCAAGGTGCTGATAGCTTTGCTGTGGCTTGAGTACCTGTCCTGTGCTGGTAGGATTTCCCTGCTCAGAAGCTCTGCCCGTGCGCATGGGTGTGCGGTTTGGCTTGGAAGACACGGACAGTCTGCTTGAGCACGCATGGCAGAAGCTGCTTTGAAAATTTTACTAGAGATTTGTGCTGTTTGGGTTTTTTTTTTTTTTCTTCTTAATAGGAGAATCCTTTCTTCTTTATCAGAATCAAGCTTGTTTTCCTCTGAGCTCCTGATGTATCCCTGTTATCTAGGACTATGTCAACCCTGGTTATAAGAAGTTTTGTGCAGTTTGTATTCATAAAGCTGGAAGATCTGGTTAGGTCATTAGACTTTGAAAGATAACGTGTGAGCCCATGGAGGTGAATGCTCTCTGGGTTTAGAAATGTTTCCTGCCCTATTCAAAGCCAGGAATTCCTAGTATGTAGGCTCTTCCTTCTGGGCTCCTTATCCAAATTACTTTTTCATATCTCTTTTGTCCAGTTGACTGAGAAGTGTAATCAAACATCTAGGACACTGGTTTGGCAATAACTTTCCATACAGGCAGGCAGTGCAAGGAAGGGTGCAGGGAAGGAGGGCAGGGGCTGGGCACACGGGAGTTGCAGGAGGACAGGGAGGAAGAAGAGGGAGGCGTGAAGCCTTTTGTGTTTGGGAGAGGTGTGTTTTTCCCACCTCCAGGCCATGTGGAGACATGATCAGTTGACACAAGGAGCGCTGAGTGCAGGGGTGAAGAGCAGTGCTAACCTTTTCTGTGCCAAATGAGCCGCTTACCGTCACTGCCCTTCCCTGCAGCCCAAGGCTTCGGTTTCCTTCTGATCCAAGATGTGAATGTTTCTGTCTTGGGTTGATGGGAACAAGCCAGAAGGGAAGGGTGAGCGATGTCCTCACCAGAAGCTTTGTGCTGTAGAAGGAGCAAGGAGTGTACTGTTGGGGCCTTCCTTGCTGCCTCTTGCATGAGAAATTCCTGCCTGATCGATCCATGGCATGCAGAGCGGTACAGTGGGAGTGCAGCAGTGGGCAGGAGGGCCTTTCTGCCAAAACCTGTGAGTGAAATAGGGTACATCTAGTTAAGTCAAAGAACTAGAGAACACCTTGGAGGAAAAAGTGTTTATAGAGCCCAAGTTCTTTGCAATTTGCAGATGTCTGACCATTCCCAATCTCCTCTAATCTTGCCATAAGCCCCTCCTGCT